TGGCAGCATGGAGAGAAAGTGGACCAGTACCTAGCTTACAGGATAGCAGTGTCCGCTTCCCTGTTTGCAGGAGTTCTTGTAGCAGTTCATGCCCGCAGTAAGCCAGCGGTGCACCTGGGGCACAGAGAGATGAAAGCCATGTTGGAAAGTCCTGATGTGGAAGCTTTATGGTCCACAGAAAACTCTGTTGTAAAAGCTCCATAAATAGAGTTTTCAGAGTCCCTATAAGAAACTATCCCTGTGGTCACCACACCTGAAGCCTCGCACCAGGCATTTCCAGTTCTCCCAGTAAATGGGCTATTGTCCCTGGTAGGCAATAATTACATGGTGATACCATCACACAGGGCCTTATCAGGCTGCCAGGGAAACCGAGCTGGAAAGTTACGTAAAGGTCAAAGTCTCACACAGGACAGGAAAAAGATTTTGTTAAGTCTTTATACACGAGCCCTTTATACCTATGAGGGGTGTTTTCCTAATCAAATATTTCTTGGGTATTTGCTTAATGCAAAGTGCTGTAGAGAAACCAAAAATCCTATTTGAGGTGCTTTGAAATTTGTAGGTAAGATTGATAGGTAGCCGTCTAGCTTCAGGAAAGGGATATGACTAGAAAATACCCCGGGAGAAGTTTGCCAACTTGCCCTAAAGGCACTATATTTCTGATGATGTGATCTTTATTTAAAAAATTGGTGATACAGTAATGCACACTATTTGAGCTCTTAGCCTTTCTTTCTTTCTTTTTTTTTAGGCCTTACTTTCTTAATGTAGATAATTACCTACCTTTTTCTATCAGAATTGGGCATTTCCTTCATTATACCCAAGGTAGTCATGAAATACAAAATATGCATTTTAGTCTCAGAGTTATTGTTGGTGGATATGTGTTCTTTGATGCTTCCGTTTATTACCATGGGGCAAAATTTCCCATGAGGAAGCCACATGAGCTAGAATCCAGGCCTTGATTTGAAGAGATTGCAAATCATGAACATTCTTTCATTTTGTAAATATTTTAGAAAACTGTGGTCTCTTAACTCTGACAAGGAATGTTGAAATTACTGGGGGGCTATATTTGTAGCCTTCCTGACACTGTACAGATTCACTATTAGTTTAGTCTGAAGTAGTACTTTTTAAAAGAGCTTCCCATGGAATCATAGAAATTCTAAGGAACAACTGTAGTTGAGGTGTTAATAAAACAAAATGTATAAACATTTTCAAACACATTTGAAATTTACCTTGTTGTTTTTGAAATTTAGAAAATTAGTAAGTGTCCTGAGTAGAAAAACCTATATTTACCTGCTAATACTGTTGCATAGGTCCGTCTTCTCCAGCAAGTACTTCGGCACCCTTTCCAGAAGTGTTCCATGGCTGAGAAAGCAGGCTACGCCTCACCTACTCCTTCTTGGGCCAAAGATCTCAGAGTTAGTTGCTCATCTTAATTTGGGAAAAGTAAATTCAGGACTACTATCACTGGACTCACCGAAGAATAATTTATGTAATAAATTCTTTTTTCTTTGCCCTTTATTCCTTTCCCCTCCCCCTCCAGTTCCCCTTCCTATAACAAATTCTTCATGATCTTCTTCACTTTGATGATAATCAATGATTATATGACCATATGTAATGATAATATATAAAAATATTTTAGTTCTATAAATTGGACTTTGTTCTTTGAAACAAGACAATGGGAAAATAAAGTGTTACTGGTTAACCACATAAATGAGTCTCACTAACTGAGAAAGTTTTTGGCAGTTTTTTGATCAAGATGGATTTGCAAGTATGTAGTACTTATTTAATGTTCAGCACTTAGGGTATATAGTTTAGTTGTAGTCCTAGAGTTATTTTGTTCCTTATAGGATTTTCAAACATTTACAGAAGTAGAGTAGTTTAATGAACCTGATTTGCCACTGAACCAGCATATACAAATTATTCGTGTATGGTCAGTTGGTCTCCCTTTATCTACACCTCCACACTCTTTCTCTGTATTGTAGTTACATTTAAACTGAAGTATGATTTACATATCCCTAGTTAGTTTTAGAAAAATCCTGACATTGTTTTATTTCCTCTACAAATATTACTGCATGCATCTCCAAACGTTAATGACTTAAACTCATACTGGCCAGGTGTGGTCGCATGTGCTTGCAGTATGTACCAGCTATTTGACAGGCTGAGGCAAGAGGGTCAGTTAAGCCCAGAGTTTTGTGACCAACCTTCTTAACATAATGAAATATTCTTTCATCTCACCACCACCTCCCAAAATGGACATCTCATACAGATCTGTGATACCATTACCACCTTAGGACAAATTAGCAGTAACTTCTTAATGTACAGCATAGTCTATTTTCATTTTTCCTATGATTTTATAAATCATCATGCTTATCATTATTAGCTTATTGTTGTTTAACTGGGATCCAAATAAGGATTACACATGAGGATTCAAGGATGGTATAAGTTAAATTTCTTCTGGTACCTTTGGATATGTCACCTGTAGTTACCACCTAACATCTTTCTCTTGACTTTTTTTTTTGTAGTGCTTGGTATCAAACCCAGAGCTTTCTGGATACTAGGCAAGTGCTCTGCTACTGAGCTCACCCCCAGCCCAGTTTATTTTCTTTTAATTTAGTAATGCAGTCTGTTTCTCCTGTAGCATTTCACACAGTGTGCATTTTGCTGCTGGCATCTGTGGTATTGTTCAGCATGACTTTCCCCACTCTAGTTCTGTAAATGTAGAGCTTTGGCCATTCAGGGCTGATTTATTTGGCAAAAAATACTTGCCATTGGAAGGCAGTTGTGTATTTCCATCAGGAGGTATGTAATGTTTGTCTCTTTTTGTGCTGTAACAGCCACCATGATCACTACCTTGACCCACTGATTCAAAAAGATTATAATTCAAAAAGATTATAAAATAATGTAATCTTATTATTCATTTACTAGCTAGAATCCCTTTATAAAGAAAAAAAGAGAAATCTAGAGAAACAGAGAGTGCAAAATAAGATGCTAAGAATATGTATGTGATTACAGTTGTTGCCAGTTAAAGGTAATGCTTACTGGACTAGATGTAAGCACAATAATATGTCCTTATATGTTATTTGTGACAGGCTTAGAACATAATGACAGAAAATTTGAAAGTGAACAAATAGAAAGATTTGTCAGGCAAATAACTGATAAAAGAATGCAGCTGTGTAAGATTAAAAAGTAAGAACATAACACAGTGATATATGATTCAGTTTGCCAGGAAGGCATGTAGGTAAACTTTATTTACATTCACTAAGCAATGTTAGATATATAAGATATGTAAAAAATATATAATTTTCCAGAACAATGAAAAGACACTGAAAAATCTATCCTCATAGAAGGAGAGCTCACATCCTTTTTAGTAACTGATGGGCCAGGAAGGATAGGTATTAGGCTGTAGAAGAGTTAAGCAACATACTTTAACAAGCTTGTTCTGACAAGTATGTATAGTATGTTCTACACAAGCACATACGGACCCTCCATAAAAACTGATCTTATATCCAGCCATAAAAAATCTGAAAAGCTTCAATTCTTTAATTTGATAGTTTTGGTATCAGATTAGCTAAAATTTCTATGATCAGCTATGAAAAACATATAGCATAGGCTTGAATGTTCACCTCTCCCTTTAAGGACTTAACGGTAAAATTTTATTTCAGATTCTATCACGAGGCAGTTTAAATTATAGCTCCTGATAAGCTCTACTTGCCGGTGACATATTACATAGGTTTCTGTCCTGAGGACAACATTTTATACCAGAAACTTTTTAGTTTTTATATGTCACAGTAGAGGGTTACTTTCTAAATCCCTACACTGGTCCCCTTACCTCTAAATCCACCCTGACTTTTGCATTTCTTCACATCCAAATATCTCACTCAACTTCATAAAAAAAGAACACATTTTGTTTCACTTTCAGGACTGATCTAAATGATCCCATTCATGTACAGAGAATGTGGGGACCTTTCAGCCACATACCAAAGATTTTGTTCCACTGAGTGGAAATTGTAGGGTTCATGATTTGGTAATGCCTGGGCCTGTGAAAAGCAAAGCCCAAGATTAACTAAAAGTAGTCCAGATTTCTAAGATTTCTGACCAAAAAGTTCTTAATACTGCATTTGTACTCAAGAGAAATCAAAGTGGACCTCCCACAGGGTCATCAGAGGAATGGTCAGGCAGGCCCTTTGGTCTACTACACTTGTGCCAACATTTTGATCACAAACTTCTCTTCAGTAGCTTTCTTAAAATACATGCCATCAAATGTTACAATTGACAACCACTATAATAGTTTTGAATAGTCTTTTCCCTCTAAAGGAAAAGTCTGGTATAGACAGATAGAAGTCAGGAGGGCTGAGATGTATGTGGTCTAGCCCTATGGGCATTCAGGCCTTAGTCCTTCTAAAGTTAGTAAATTGGAAGTGACACTTTGGGGGTCACCTACAAAGCCCATTAGAACTGCATCCCTGCCACTGGGCACCGGGGAGGGAGAGAGTGTGTTCTGGTCCTGCTCTCTGGCCCTGTCTGATCCACCTCGATGGGCCCTTCCTACCTTCTTTATCACGTTCTGGCTGAAGATGGGTTGACAAGAAAAGCCCTGCTCACCTTGGCCAATAATGTGCTTCTTCAGCGTTTTCCCAGCTGGAGTGAAAGACAGCCAAGCTGTCTTGGCCTCTTGACAAGAGGCAACAGAAATATGGAATTATGGGATGTGACTGTCCATCAAAGGGACGGAAAGTAGGGTGACAATGCAACAAGGAGAGTGTACAGACAAGAGCAGAGATGAGAAATGGGAAGACCACAAATTTCCAGGAACCGCTTCAAGGTCCTGCTTGGGAATCCAGGTGTATGCTTTACCTGGAATTACTGGGACTCTGCTCTGAATGGTTGAATCAAAACTTACCTTTAGTTTGAGCTTGTCCCAGTTGTTTTTGTTTATCTACAATTGGAATCCTGGTGGCCTGGATCATTTCCAGGGTGCCTTCATCCACAAGATCCTGGCTCTCCAATGGAAACGTGTTTCCTTTCTTCTATAAATGTGGTCATGAATTACCATAACTTTTTTTTTTCATTCTCTGAAATAAACTTAGCAAAGTGCTACTCTTTGGATTTTGGTGATCCTGAATTCTGAATTCCTCGTTTCAAATATAAATGCATTTCCTGGTCTACAAACCAGGTGATCATTTTGATTACAATCCTTACAAAGAACCTTCTGTCCTGAGCCACTAGTTCATTGATTCATTGACTGGTTCATTGATCTACATCAGGTCAAAGCAATACGGACACTTTGTGAGGCCACAGGCATTTACCTGTCTTTATAGAGCTCTTGATCTTTGACTCGGTCTGTAACAAAGTGATACCTTCACTCATACCTTTTCTGTATTTTGCCCCAGAGACCTGCACAATGGCTAGGCTTTGGTCAGGAATCAGAAAAACTCTGTCTTCATTGCACTGACAAAAACCCTATAAAATTAAAAAGTGAAATGAAAGACACTAGAAAGAGTTATTGCAAATGGGATGAGATTTAATGTAAAGCATTTTTACTTTCTATTTCAAGAAAAAGTTAAAAGCACCTTTTTGCTATTTCCTCTTCTCCCTGAAGGCTTAATCTACCAGGTTTAGTTACTTAATATTTTAGCTTTAAAACTGAATTTGTTTTGTTATTTGCCAATTTAGAGCTCGCTTTTTCTCCCATATATTAAAATAAAATTAATCATCTTCCTTAATTAAAAAAACCATTATTTTAAATTTAGTTTCTGCTCACTTTAAGGTTTTGAGGAGTTTTACAGTGAAATACAAAAACAGCCATGGACATAAAACTAAGAAAATCTAAAAGGCTTATCAGAAACCAACTAGAAAGAGAAGACAGATTCAAGTAACAGGAACCCAGGGCACATTGGCTATTAAAATTGGGCATTAAATTCATCTCTGAAGGAAAACATTTCAGGTGAAAGACTATATACATTTTTACTTATATTTACAGCGCTGTGTAAATATACTACATATATACTAAATATACCAGAAAATCCAAAAGCTAAGTAACTTTTTTCAAAGCATATACATCATTCATCTATTGTAAGAGCAAAATCAAAACTGTGGACTCAGGTCATTAATCATCAAGTCATGAATCTCAAAGAAACTGAATATACTCTTGCCTGTCTTTTTTTTTTTTTTTCTTTTTCATGTTCTGACTTTTCTGAAAATTCTGAAGATCAAGACAAAGCCAGGCGTGGTGGTGCTTAATCCCAGCACTCAGGAAGCTCAGCCAAGAGGATCGCCGGTGAATTCAAGGACAGCCCGAACCACACAACAAGACCCTCTCTCAAAGAAACAAAATAAAAGAAACAAACAAAAAAATCCCCTCCCAAAAAACTCAAGAAACACACACACAAAGGACGTAAGACTTAAGAAGGTGTAAGAGTTTGAAAGTTATTTTTATAAAGTCAAATATAGTTTTCATACAGAACAAAATTTGTTCAGTGAAATCTCTATAAGTACCATCTTCAGAAAACGTTCAATTTTTATTAATTTGAGGCTTCTGAATATACAATAGAGCCGAACCATCATTTTAGTTAACTTGAGGGGCAGTGAGTTCAGTCCAGGCGACAGTCCCGGGCAGGTGTACACCTGGTCCCAGTCCGACTCCCGGGTTACTGGCCGGGACGCAGTGAGCAGAGGCGGTGGCCGTTGCGCGCCGTTTTCAGCCTGGACGCTTGGCACGCGCGGTGGTCGGGACCACTAGGACAGCTGGCCCCTCTTCCTCTGCAGGGCCTTCATGAGGTCTGACATGAAGTCCTGCTCCGCGCCCGCCTGGCCCGGGCTCTCCGACCTCCTGGGGGGCGCGGGCGGCTTTTTGATGGCCACAGGGGGCGCCCTGGGGGCGGCGAAGGGCGGCGGCGGCGGCGGCGG